TTAAAGACTGAAACACACTGTAAAATATAATTCTATGAATCCCAACAACACTCCTTTAAGTATTATAGAATCACTACTATGTGGAAATAGACCCTTTGAGACAACAAGTCCACACTGAACCTCGGAGCATCCTATCCAGGCCCATCCCCCTGTAACCCACCTAATCTACATATCCCTGAACATTATGGGCAATTTAACATGGCCGATCCACCAAGCCTGCACACCTTTGGACTATGGGAGGAAACCGGAGCACCCGGAGGAAACCCATGCAGACATGGGGAGAATGTGCAAACTCCAGACAGACAGTAACCCAAGGGTGGAATCGAACCCGGGTTCTTGGTGCTGTGAGGCAGCAGTGCTAACCACTGAGCCATCGTGCTGCCCCACACTATTCACACTAAAGAAAATTCTCTCTCTGTCAGATCTCTTTGGTTTACTCTAACTATGATTTCAACTCCTGGTCTTAAAAATCTGATTGGCACTTACTTTTTGACTTTGTCAGCTTCAAATAATCCCTTCAGGGTTTTAACCAGCCACTTCTGGTCTGGATCTTTTAAATTAAATTCCTTTAAATGGTGTAATTTATTTCTGGTTATCTCTCTCCTTCATTAACAACTGCCTAACGTATCCAGCTTCAGCTAAGACCTCTGCAAAACCCTGAAACCAAAAGTGTTTTCTTCAATTATGGCTGTTTGCCCTAAGCCGAATAAACAATCCTGGAACCTTCTACCTGAAATCTGGTGCACACCTATTTTCTATCTCAGTCTTACCTATCACTCATTGATTCACATCCCTCTTGTGTCAACCATTTAGTTTTAGAAATGCAACAAGTAATTACAACTTGTACCACTAGTTGAGCAGGTGAGGATTAATATCCATTTCTCACAAACATTAACCAGTGCATCCTTTAGCACTCATAGCTCTCATCAGCATTTTTTTTTTTTTGATTCATTCACGGGATGAGGGCGTCACTGGGTAGGCAGCATTTATTGCCCATCCCTAATTGCCCAAAGGGCAGTTAAGAGTCAACCATATTGCTGTGGGTCTGGAGTCACATGTAGGCCAGACCAGGTAAGGATGTCCGTTTCCTTCCCTAAAGGACATTAGTGAACCAGATGGGTTTTTCCTGACAATCAACAATCGATTCACAGTCATCATTAGATTTTTAATTCCAGATATTTTTTACTGAATTCAAATTCCACCATCTGCTATGAGTTTCAAACCCGGGTCCCCAGAACATTATCTAGGTCTCTGGATCAACAGTCCAGCGATAATACCACTAGGCCATCGCTTACGCTTAATGTTCTCTAGACCTACTGTTTTCACTGTTCCTCTGAATTTAAATTTTGAAGCTGCTGCTCAAAAGACTGTTAATGATCTTCACAACAAGCTCATTCGCTGGAGGCATGAGGGTTGTGGCATCCTGATCAGACTCTACCGCTGAACACCCTTTTAAAGATGTGTTCAGTTCTGGAGCTCAGGGTGAAGCAATGTTATTGGGACTATGCAATTTTCAATGTGTGTTACACCCAACTTCAATCTCACAGGCTTTTGAAACCCAGCATACACAATCTGTTGCAATTAATATCTCTTCTAATAGTTCAGAACATAAGAAATACTTTAAACTTGAAAGAGTTCAGAAAAGATTTACTAGGATGCTGCCGGGGGTGGAAGGTTCTAAGCTATAGGGAAAGGCTGAATAGGCTGGGATATTTTCCCTGAAGCATCGAGGGGTGACCTTCCAGAAGTTTATAAAATCCTGATGAGTATGCATAGGGTGAATAGTCCAGGTCTTTTCCCTAGGCTAGGGAGCCCAAAACTAGAGACCATAGGTTTAAGGTGGGAGGGGATAGACCTAAGGGCAACTGAATCATGTGGAGGGTGGTGTGTGTTTGGAATGAGCTGCCAGAGGAAGTGGTGGAGGCTGATACAATTACAACATTGAAAAGGCATCGGGACAGGTACATAAATACAAAGAATTTAGAGGGATATGGCCCAAATATAGGCAAATTGGACAAGGTTATCTGCTTGGACAAAGTGAACTGACGGGTCTGGTTTCGTGCTGTACAACTCTGACTCTAAATAGAAGAAGTAGGCCATTCAGCCCCTCAAGCTTGCCCCACCTTTCATCAAGATCATGGTTGATCTGTCCAAGTTTTCTTTCTTGCCTGGTCATCATAGTCATCAGCTCTGCTATTTCAAAAGTCTATCTGTTTCCTTTTTAAATACTTCCAGTGATCAAGCCATCACTCAATTGTAGAGAATTCTAGACATTTACTACCCCTCTGGGAGAAGAAATTCCTTCACATCTCAGTTTTTTAATGAGTGTTCCCCTTGTTCTGCAACTATACTCCCTAGTTCAAGCTTTTCCCACTAGTGGAAACATCTTCTCAACATCTATCCTGTCAAGTCCTCTTAGGATCTTGTATGTTTCCTGAGCTCACCCTTCATTCTTCTACACTCTGATCTATAAAGGTCTAACCTGTTTAGCCATTCTCGATAAGTTAGTCTCTACGTCCCAGGAATCAGCCTATAATAGGTGGCTTAAAAGCAAAAGGGAACAACGACAAAAGAAGTGAAAATGTTCAAAGAGTGAAAAGGTAAATTTAACCATGGAACACCGAGCAGGACACACATGCATGCAAAAGTAAATCAAAAATATTTTAAATCAAAGCACTTCATTATTACTTGGAACATCAGCAGAAACACATCTTCAAGTAATTCAGTTCTGACAGTCATATAGCGATTGGAAGTGTGCCTGCGTTATTTTGATGTGATGGTCGAGTATTTTGTTTCTGCCTTTGATGATAGAACTTGAGAAACATGAAAGAGCTAAGCTTTAAAAAAGAATGTCCGCAAGTCTGTCTGTTCTCATCAGACACATGTAGTCACTTTCTCTACATGGCACAGGGAGCGCTTCATTTTCTCTCCAATATGCAGCAGTAACATGTGATGCACCTTCTTTCAATTTTTCACGTACTGAAGGCTGCACAGAACTTCACTGGGAAGCTGGAGAACATGAGGATGCAGTTACTGATCCAAACCAATTCCGTTTGCATTGGAAGACCTGTATTTGTACAGATAACAAGGTGTGGAGCTGGAGGCAC